GTTGCTGACGACAGTGTGACGCTGCCACCTCGAGCAACTGTTCCAATCGAAGTCACTTGTGAAGACCCCAAAGACGGCGACGTGGTGGCTGAAAGCAACCTATCACTTCTGCTGCTCCAGGGTGTATGCGCCGCCCAAAGTGTTCTGCACGTCCGTGACGGACAGTCAACGATACTAGTTACGAACTTCAATTACGAGCACCAGCATCTTTTCCGTGGAACCACCCTAGCTTATGGAGACCCTGTTGCCGACGTCACGGAGTGCTTCGCGTCCGAGGAAACGCATGAGGATGAGGAATTTCTAGACCGCATCGACATTAATTCGACGCTGTCAGACGAGAGAAAGGCTGCACTTCATGACCTTTTAAGGGAGTTTCGATCTTGCTTCGCCTTTTCTTCTAAAGTCCGTCAAATACACCTCACGAAGCACCGAATTATTACCGACGATGACGTCCGCCCCATCCAGCAGCAGCCTTATCGCGTTTCTGCCAAATAACGCGAGGCTATTCAGACACAAGTAAAAGAGATGCTCGATGACGGGATTATTCAACCATCCAGCAGCGCTTGGTCTTCGCCAGTCGTTCTAGTGAAGAAAAAAGACGGAACGCTGCGATTCTGTACTACAGGAAGCTTAATAGCGTCACAAAAAAAGACGTCTACCCGCTTCCACGGGTCGACGACTCCCTCGACAAGTTACGACGCGCGAAGTTTTTTTGTCCATCGATCTAAAGAGTGGCTATTGGCAAATTGAAATGGATGAACGAGACCGAGAAAAAACCGCGTTTGTGACTCCAGACGGACTTTACAAATTCCGAGTTCTTCCCTTCGGCCTCTGTTCTGCACCAGCCACTTTTCAGAGAATGATGGACACAGTTCTCGCTGGCTTGAAGTGACAAAGCTGCCTTGTCTACCTTGATGATGTGGTCATCTTTTCCGAGAGCTTCGAAGAACATCTGAAGCGTCTGAGAAAGGTTCTGGAAGCCATTCGCACAGCTTAACTCGCGCTGAAACCTCAAAAATGCCATTTCGGCTATGAAAAGCTGAAATTTCTGGGACATGTCATTAGTGCGGATGAAGTGCAACCTGATCCAGACAAAACTGCTGCTGTCGCCGCCTTCCCTGTTCCATCAGATAAAAGAGCAGTACGCTGTTTCCTCGGCTTGTGCGCGTAATATCGCCGATTTATCGCCAACTTCTCGAAGATAGCTGAACCTCTTATGCGACTCACCCGAGATGACGTGCCCTTTACTTGGGGCGCAAAACAAGATACAGCGTTCACAGAGTTACGATAGAGAATGCAAACAGCCCCTGTTCTTGCCCATTTTCATGAGGACGCTGCTACAGAAATTCATACAGGTGCCAGCAACGTCGGACTTAGCGCTGTCCTTGTACAACGACACGGCGGCGTTGAGCATGAGATAGCTTACGCCAGTCATACTCTTTCTCGAGCCGCGACCAACTATTCTACGTCAGAAAAAGAACGCCTCGCAGTCGTGTGGGCGACAACCAAATTTCGGCCTTACCTCTACGGTCGTCCCTTCAAAGTGGTGACTGACCACCACTCGCTCTGCTGGCTGGCAAATCTCAGAGATCCATCCGGCCGTCTCGCACGGTGGAGTTTGCGTTTGCAGGAGTTCGATATTACGGTTGTGTACAGGTCAGGGCGCACACACGAAGACGCCGACGCCCTTTCTCGAGCGCCTGTGGGGAACGTTGTCAGGGGCTCCGAAGATGAAGATGCCTTTCTCGGAGCAGTTAGCAATTCCGAATTTATGTCAAAGCGGCGGGCAGACGACGAATTACGCCCAGTCATTAATTCCCTGGAAGGCCGCAACTCTCAGGTCCCTCAACATATTGCTCGCGAACTATCCTCCTTTTGTCTGAGACGAGGCATTCTTTACAAGAAAAACGCCCGTGGTAGCGACAAAGCCTTCCTACTCGTTGTTCCTACCGACATGCGTGATGAGATCCTCCTTGCGTGCCAGGACGAGCCCACGTCAGGACATTTGGGCTATTCGCGAACTCTCGCCAGAGTACGCCAACAGTATTACTGGCCGCGACTATCAACTAGTGAACATCGATATGTGAAAGGCTGCCGTGAGTGCCAGCGCCGCAAGACTCCGCCTGTGAGACCAGCGGGCCTGCTCCAGCCGATCGCACCACCACGGACACCGTTTGACCTCGGGGGGAATGGACCTTCTCGGGCCCTTCCCTTTGTCGTCCTCTGGGAACAAATGAATTATAGTTGGGACAGATTATCTTACTCGTTATGCTGAAACAAAACCCTTACCTCGTGGCACGGCCTCTGAAGTCGCGCAGTTCTTCGTGCACCAAATCGTCCTACGGCATGGTGTTTCGTCATGCGTGATTACGAACAGAGGGACGTCGTTTACAGCACAAATGATGGAGGACATCTTTAAACTGAGCTTCACAAGTCATCGAAAAACAACAGCTTATCACCCGCAATCCAATGGACTGACAGAGAGGCTTAACAAGACCATAGCGGACATGCTGTCAATGTACGTGGACGTACAACACAAAACCTGGGACGAGATTCTTCCATACATCACGTTTGCTTACAATACGGCAACTCAAAAAACAACGTGATTTCCACCTTCCCGACTTGTTTACGGACGCAACGTGCGAACCATGCACGATGCTATGCTTCCGTGCGACCAAAGCAATGAACTTGCTCAAGACGCTGAGCAATACACTCAATACGCCGAAGAAGCTCGTCAGCTAGCTCGCATAAACACCAGTCACCAACAAGATGCAGACGTACAACGTTACAACCTCTGCCATCGAAATGTCACCTACCACCCTGGAGACCGAGTGTGGGTGTGGATCCCTGTCCGGCGACCAGGCTTATCCGAAAAACTCCTAAGCTGTTATTTTGGACCGTACAAGGTTCTTAGACGAGTCACAGGTGTTACCTACGAGGGATTTCCGGACGGCGCAGCGTCTTCTCGTCGACAGCTTTGGCCCGAAACCGTGTATGTCGTTCGGCTGAAGCCCTACTTCAAACAGGAGCCCTTGTGGTTTGACGTGCTGCCACATGCCGTGACTTTGCGTGCTGCTGCTGTTTGTGTTCTCCTGTGTTTTTATGCCTTTTCTTTTTGCGCTTGGCGCAAGCGTTGACGAAACTTCCTCATTTGCGCTGCGAGTACTGGCACTCTCCCTCTTTTGGTTCTCTATATCTGCGTGTGTATGCCTTCATTTTTTTTTATTTACGAGCATCGAGTCGATGCTTTCAAAGGAAGGGGGACTGTTGCCACATGGTTTGCTTGGGTGAGATCGAAGAGTGAACGAGGACAAAGACGATTTCTCTGAGCTGCTGCTTGGCTAGTCGATTCAACGAACCCATTGTATCAAGTTTGTCGAGAGTAACGTGACAATATTTTCCCCACCTGGTTTGCTTACTTTCGTACTGTGCGACGCTCGCAGGTCATCTCGGTTTCTTTTTTTCACGCACCTTGCCCGCACTTACAACACTCATATGGGTGGCATAACACAGCACATATCGCAAACTGTCACCAAGATTCTCACGTGGCGACACCCAAGTACCACACTCACACACGCACATGCGGTAACACTGATGCCACACCTTTTGCGGGTGGTAAATCACAGACACGCACATTCAGACTTCACCTTACTGCACACAAATGAGCACGACGACAACCGTCGAGTGGTCATCCTAGCGACGCAGAGAATAGATGCTGTGTTGCTGCTTCACGCTGCCAAACCGACAGAATGCGATAAAGCTCTGCCATTTCAGTGCACTTGAAACGCTGCAATATCATAAATGCCAGCATTGAACGACAGCCGACGACGATGATGCTGAGAGCGAGTGGATGAAATAGCTTCAAAGAAAACACCACAGAAAACCGAATGGACGCCCGATGGTCTCGGTGCAGCGACACATCGTCTCTCGTCGCGAATGGCGCCGTGCTGAATTTGTCATTGGTTCATCGCGACTCTTACATCATAGTAATGAGCGGCACAGTTGGACGTGCACAATACAAATGGACTGTGGTACACTTCACTTTTTTTTTTTTAGTTTGTCACCAACTATAGGCACAAATGGATGACAGGTGTAGCTGAAGGCATCAGCAGTGTGTTAGGTGGAGTGATCAAATTAATAGGTCTGCATGCAGACATGAAATAGAACCAGTTAATGCAACACAAGGTAAATTGGAGATCACAGGAAGAGGTCTTTGTCCTGCAAGACAGTGATGATAATGGTGGTGATGTAATGTTGAGAACCAGGTTGAGATACAGGAAAGAGAGAAGAGGGGACAGGGTAAAGCATATCTACGTATAATATAGCAAGTGTGCGAGGAAGTCTACTAAATGTGAGGAAGAGTGATACGAGGGTGAAGAAGAAAGAAAGAAAGGGGTAGAGCATAGCATAGCCACGTATAGTATAGCAAGGGCGCAGAAAGTAAATTGAAAGTGAAGGAGAGGAAGAAAGAGGGCAGAGTATAACATAGCCATGTATAGTATTGCATAACAGTGGTGTGTGAAAGGGGATCGAGGGCGAGAAATGAAAATGGGAGAGGCTAAGGCATTGCATAGACATGTATAGTATATCAAGGGTGCAGGAAAGTGATTTGAAAGAGAGGAGTGATGTGAGGGTGAATAAAAGAGGGGAAGCATAAGTCATGTATAGTATAGTAATGGTGCATGAAAGAATTGAGGGTGAGAAATGAAAATGGGAGAGGATAAGGCATTATAATTTAGCAAGGGTGCAGGAAAGAATTTAAAGTGAGCAAGGAAGAGGGTAGACTATAGCAAAGTCATATATAGCATGGTATATCAATGGTGCTGGAAAGGAAATTGAGAGCAGAGTGAGGTTGAGAAATGAAGCTGGGAAGGGGTAAAGCATAGCATAGCCATGTATATTATGGGTGTGAAAAACGGTATAAGAGTGTTGCAAGAGCAAGGAAGGAAGATGGTAATGTATTCATGAGCCATGTATAGTATGGTATAGCAACTACTAACCTTGTCCTAAAGGTTCCACTCTCCGGGGCTCGGCAGGCCGCAGCATCTCCTCTGTTGGCCGCCACTCGTTGGGAGCCTACCACAATACAACATGCTTTTTTGCAGGAGCATCCAATAGCACAGAGCCACTAAGTCAAGCTTACCTCGGGTAGAGCCATAAACCCTGGAGAGGCCTCTTGTTCCTCCTCAGGTTCCTCCTAAGAAGCACAAACATAGCAGTTCCACAAGGGTGCTCAAAGTGTTGAGCAAAGAATGAAGTGTGAAGCAGAGCTGTAACTAAGGGGGAGTCGAAAGGGTTCTGCCATCCCCTGAAGTGTCTTCATGCTTTAGCTTTTCCGGTGACACTGAAGTAAGTAGTTACATATTTTTACATCGACCACCAGTGGCTGAAGCTAGCCGTTCTGTACATAAATACCACAACTCCCGAAAAAATTTCTGGGTATAGCCCTGGCGTGAAGGTATGAGAAGCAGCGACACATACATAGAAAACAACGATCGTTTCAAGAATTCATCAATTAGCCCTGAAGCCTGGTGAAAAAACACATCCTGCGGATAGAAGATGCTGCTATGAACAACTCAGCCGAATCTTGCACTTGTGCACAGAGAACAAAGTTTAGAAGCACAGCTTGAAAGTGGCATTTTCTCGGGTGCCCTCTCTTCACAGAGACGCTTCTGCTCTATCTCTTCAGAGATGCACACCGTTGCTGTTTGATGAAAAACAGACAGCATGTTATTTATTGGCCAACAGCCAATAGAAATCAAAAGTGGAGTTTGTATCAGATGTGCATATTGCGACGGGATGCCACCAAGGGCCAGAGCTCTACTACATAGTCTGCTAATGCTACACAGTAGTCACACTTGCATGTGGAACTCCAATGAAAGTGAGCAATCTAACTTCATTATGCATTGCTGTAACTGATTTTACATGCCCTGATGTAACTTCTTTCCCCCTGCCATCCCTCCCTGCGTAGTCTCTGGTGCACTCGTCAGGATGAGAGAAACCACTTAAAACTGCGCTTGTTCTTGACGAATTCAATAAACTTTTGAGGCAATTGATTTGTCGGGCATGATTTGATATGTGGGGTTTAATGTTCCAAAACCACTATATGATTATGGGAGACGCGGTAGAGGAGGGCTTCGAAAATTTCGACCACCTGGGGTTCTTTAACGTGCACCCAAATCTGAGCATACGAGCCTACAGCATTTCCGCCTCCATCAGAAATGCAGTCGCCGCAAATTTGTGAGGCCAACTTTGATGCTGGTGTCATTTGACGATTACTGGGCACAGTGGCTCAGAACTCCTTTAAAAGAAGACAAAGTTCTAGCTGCATGTTCTGAAGCTTAGAACAAAAGCGATACCAAATAATTAAAGTCTAAAGTAGCCTGTAATACTTGGCTGTTGAAGCTTTTTATGTACAGACAAGAAACAAAACACTGCGCTTAATGTCAAAACTTTTTTTGAGGAAATGATAACTCACAAACCTGTCACAAACTTAGTGCATGAAAAACGTTACGTAACGTGTAACGTAGATTTCATGGTAGAAGTTAAAGATAATTAACATTTAGAATATATGGGTATATCCCAAGTCGATACCAGACGAATTTCAGTCAGAAGTAAAACGTCAGATGTCATCTTCTTTTTTCGGCCCATGTGTTACGACCAAGTGCTGTTTACAACTATAAAACGTGTCTAACTAATGCGACCTGATGTTGTGAATAGACAGCATTTGAATAAAACCATTTATAAAACTGTGCTTATACACAATAAAGCTCATATGCCTTCCCATTGACACTATGTGACTGACACCATGCGACTAATTACGAATATTATAAGATTCAGTTAACGACGAAACAATAGGTATCACATTACCTATAGTGATGGCACATGGATTGAAGTCTATGACAAAATAGCAGTTGCATACGACAGGTACTTAACATTAAATCAAGCCTTGTTATAATGAACACCAATATAGGAAATATTGGTGATAGTGAACTAAATACAAATGTTGGTCAGTCACACTTCATTTTTACAAAGTAACAAAAACGCCGACCAAGGTAAAATACGCAAAAATTAAAAAGACGTTTCGGCTCCCCACACGGGAGCCGTGTTAACAAGACTGTGAACAAGGTTCCCGTGTGGGGAGCCGAAACGTCTTTTTAATTTTTGTGTATTTTACCTTGGTCGGTGTTTTTGTTACTTTGCACTATGTTTGTCACCGACCAGACGAGATTCTATCGGACTCTTGACTACACATCATTTTTACAGCGAAAGTTGTTATGAGATGACAACTCGGGTCTCGAGCAGCGTTGCAGTTGTTCGCTGCCGCCGCCACTGGTGCCCGTAACCACCATTGCGAAATTAGACAAAAAAAAAACCTAGCACCGATGACACAGTGGGGCTCGAAGCCGGGTCCGCTGGGTGCCAGCCCAGTATTCTACCACTGAGCCAAGCCAGTGCTTGGGACTTATTGGCAGACTTGCCTTAGGCAGGCTTGATGTCAAGAAAGCAATTGCGTTAATACGACTTATAAAGCGTTCTAAAACAGCGAAAGAACAAGCAGTCGTCACCCAATGCGAGTAGCGTAATGAGTGGGTCGTCAAATGCTCCAACCCATTACAAAAGCTTGTTTTGGTTCAGCTATAAACTGTGGTGCATACCCACTTCAGGCATAATCCCTCATCGCCATCAGCCATTGCATGAGCAATTGGCACAAAATTCCTCGCAATAGCTTCACAGAAAAATGATTAAAAATAGCATAGCGAATGTATAGTATGGTATATGCCGGCCTACTACCCTATAATTTTTATTAATGCCGTAGTGGGCATCAAGCAAGTGTGCTTGCAGCAGTTACCCAATGAGTGTTTAGAAAAAGCTCTGAAAGGCCACTATTCTAGTTTTTGCTGTGACTGTGCTGCGTCTTCCGCACAGGCCTGGCATTTTTTAGGTTGTTCTATGACATTTATAACCTTCGTGAAGAAACTGAATGCGAAAGACTGTATGATATCGGCTATAAGGCAGAAATATTTGCGCCTCACAAGGCTCAAACCTTGAAAGGTAGCATAAATAGCCAAATAAATACTCAAGGCCAATTCACAACCAGATTTGTTTCATTCTAATAGTTTAAGAATGTGTTTAGAAAGTTGCGGCACTTTCGTCAAAGGAACATAGCTCTGCTGTATTGTCCTGGCTGGCTTAACTCTTTGAAGTGCCGCTGGCAGACAGGTAAGGATTACCAACACCTCCTTTATTAAGATGCCTGATGAGTGGCTCGTGTTGCCAGCAAAGTCGCCCTGCCTTCAGTTTTGACAAGCGCCGCGCAAAGGTGCTCGTGACTGGCACTATTATCACGGCATTTGTCACTTGTGGCCCCTAAGGGCGCGTCAGTCGATAGTTATTCGAGATCTGAAACTATACATGAATACTTCAGAGGCTATGCAAAATTCGAGTTTTTGCGCCGTCCGCCACAAGTGACTCTAAAGACTGAGAGTAATCAAAAATGAAGGAGGGAAAGGGTGTGGCAGCTGTTTTTGTTCTCATGTGGCAGGCATAAAAATAAAGAAGGCCTTGAGATTACCACCGCATCTATACTAGATTTGAAGCCGAAGAATAATGCATTTTGTGTGCGTGTTTGTTTTTCGCACGAGCCAGTTTGTTAGAGCCATGTTATATCTTTACTGTTACAACGAACATCGGATATAACGAACTAATTAATGGTCCTGATGCTCGACTATGTAAAGCTTAGTGAAGAAGCATTTGGAGTTAGTGTATATATACTCAATGTTGATAATTGCAGCACACCGGGCCTTCGTCAAAATTGAAACTGCGTTTTCATGCGCGATATAAAAATGTTTGATTAAAGAGTTTCAAGCATCTAGAAGTCCAGCTCTTTGGGTATGCTCTTGTACGCGGCTGACTTCCATACTAAAATGGCTGTACAATGCGTTCACAATTCCCCAGCATACAGAAAAAATGAGCCTCATCTTCTCGCTGCAGTAGAAGTAAACCTAGCATGTTTACCGTGTCGCTCGCCTGATCCGGGTCTTGAGGGAGCAGCTGGTAGCCGCCCAAGTCGACGCCGTCCCCGTCACCGAACTCCGAGTCCGAATCAGACGAGCCTTGTTGGTCGACAAGGTATGCTGGCACAGCAGACAGTCCACCACCGTCGTCACCCGAGTTGTCCGGCTCCGGCAGGTCGTTGTTCGGAAGAACCATTGTGTAGTGTCACTATAATGTAGTTTCAGTACAGGTTTCGTTTCGACTGACGAAAATTTCGTAGCTGTGTGCCCACAGGTACGTCGCTACCGCAACCTGCGCGAGATGCTACTGCGGTGCGTTATGCATCACATAAGTATGTATGTACTTGCATTCATATGTATGCCAGCGGGTTATTTTAATACGAATGACAATACATGCCATATCCCGCCCCTCGACCGCTCAATTTCACCAAAGCTACAATGTACTAGAAGGGGACAGTGGAGTGAACGAGGCGGCCGCGCCGCATCTCGGCTGATTCTCCGGCGGGTGACAGTAGTGGCGGCGCTGTAGTTCCATGGTACTGAAGATCGCGTTAGCGTTTGCATTGGAGCGCGCGCGCTCGAGCCTGCGAAAGCGTGTAATTGCTCGTTTTCAACGCGTTTAATGCGTTTCTGAGCCTTTATGAGTGGATGCAACTGTTACGCGCCATGGCGCACGAGTAAGTATTCAGGCACGCCGAAACTGCGTCGATACATTCACCGTTTCAAGAGCCTGCTGACACAGAAAAAAAAAATGTCAATCGAAATTTGCACGGATCCGCCTAGCACCTTACTCAATCAGCGCTTTGAGCTGCGGTACATCATAGGTGGCTACTGGCGAACTACAAAGAAAGGAGAAGTATCAAAACTATGATTAAATCATACGCTCGTTTTGTCAGCAGTCTCTACGATATCCAGAGCACAGTGTTCCTCATAATGAGCCTACATGCGCTCGATTGTTTCACAAGAAACCCGAGTATAAGTAACGTCGTCACAACATTAACTAGTGACGACTCTTTTTTATCATGCCAGTTTTGTGGAAGATAATAATTATTGGTTTCCGAAAGGTCTATTACGTATTAAACTTATTAAAAACAACATTCAAACATATTAAAAAGTGCAAATTGTATATATATATAGCCCGTCTGTTAATCTGCGTAAATTCCGTGTAACCAGTTCTCATTTTGTAACGACAGCTCAAATTGTGCTGCCTTCCAATTATTCTATTGGCGTAACTCTATTGCAAGCGAGCAAGTTCAAGATGATGTTTTGTATTATAAGCGTAGTTCTATTATTAAGTGTCAAAAGTGTAGGCAGGCAGTGGTGCATTTTGTTTTGAGGAATTTACCCCCCTTGTATATGTACACACACACACACACACACACACACACACACACACACACACACACACACACACACACACACACTATATATATATATATATATATATATATATATATATATATATATATATATATATATATATATATATATATATATTCAATGCTCTTTAGCACAGCTACTATTTTTAGGCGGTGCATTTCTCGATTGATTTGTGGGGTTTAACGTCCCAAAACCACCATATGATTATGAGAGACGCCGTAGTGGAGGGCTCCGGAAATTTTGACCACCTGGGGTTCTTTAACGTGCACCCAAATCTGAGCACACGGGCCTACGACATTTCCGCCTCCATCGGAAATGCAGCCGCCGCCGCCGGGATTCGAACCCGCGACCTGCGGGTCAGCAGCCGAGTACCTTAGCCACTAGACCACCGCGGCGGGGAGGCGGTGCATTTCTCGTCCGACTACGTTAGACTTGAACTAGTTTTGAGACTTCATATTCGAAAAGGTGAAATCTACAGTGCGCATTTGTAGAGACACGCTATACGCTATATTCCGCTTCGCCAACTGTAAACTATTGGCGCAGGGCTACCCAAGATTTCTTTTTTTCTTTTTGACGGGGTGTGGTGTGCAGCAGAACGCCTAACTCTGGCAATTGATGGTTGCTGTGAATGCCTGTAACTATTTTAGTATACCTTGAAAAGTTAAATTACCAAAACATTTCAAGGTGTAGGGGGTTCAGATTCACTTCCGCTCCCCTCTTGTGGCTTTCTGGTTCTGCATGCGTTTGACACAGTATTTGTTTTTTAATCTCACAGCTTTCTGAGCACAGCTAACTTCCAATAAATCAGCTCAGTTATTCTGAATATTGTAGGCGCCTAACCAACGAAGAAAGAGTTAAAAGAGAAGAAATCAGTATAAGACACACCCTTTCTGAATGATTTTCGATCTCTCACCATTGCTTTTATGGAGCTCAAATTCAGTAGATGGGCGTGTCATACTTCAAGGGCTATGGAATCATGTGCTAGACATGTATGATGGGCAGGCGCGAAGAAATCTGCATCAAGAAATCGCGACGGAGGAGCCGAAGCGCATAGCAGTTCCTGCACGCGGCGCACGGCTCTTGTAGTACTATTCGACTGCAGCGCTGCCGCTGCGGGCAACGTGGAAGGTATCAGGCGGCGAGGCGCGGTCACGCCACTCAACACTTCTAGTACACTCTACCAAAGCTTACAGACAGCTTTAGCTGCAAAACTTCACAAACTCTTCTCAAAATCTTGACTCACTTTGCAATATTGGCTAGACACTGACAGATGCAGGCGTCATCTGGTAATAAAAATTCTAATTTTTTAGTGTTAAGATTGATATTAAATTAATATAAGTGCATTTATATTATTTAAATGACGCCACTTTGCACTTGTTTAGCAATTTGCAATAAACGAGCGCTGGCTTTACTGTTGGCTGTTGAGTCGTTTATGGTTTCAATTATTCAAATGAAAAGAACAAAAGCTTTCACAGCTGTCAAAGCACATATTGTTGACTATAATAGAAAGAATATGTTTTCTTAGAACAATTCTTTCAGATCACGAGGTCGGAGCCCATCGAAAACGTCAGCGGACAGTGGCGCCAACTGGCTAGTGCGCTTGTCCGCCTGGCGCTGTCGTCGCGTCGCTGGCGTCGCTATATTGTGCAAAAGAAAAGTCGCAGAACCGAGCCGTTCCTTGAAGGAGGAAAGTAATCGCTTCCCTGGCAGCTAGGTGTTGTTTGTGAACGGGTCAGTCGTCGTTACCTGCGGGGGCTGACTTCGTGGCAGGGAGGAGTACCTCGTCAGGCAGGTTGCGAGAACGACGAGGCGCGATTGTGAAGCGAGCAGATGTCATCGTCGGCAGCCACCACATCCGAGCTCAGGTGATGAGCACCTAGGCGAGAAATTCGCTGCTGCTGCTGCTAGCCAAACGGTACAAGGACGTAAGTGCGGCTTGTCTTTCCTCTTCTCGCGGTGCGATCTGTCTCGCCTGGCCTCGCGAGTCACGACTCGTGCGCCACGCAGGGACGCGATGGTAGAGAGGATCGAGACGGGGCGGCCAGTGCAGATCCTGCGCACCAAGGATGACCACAGCTTCGAGCTGGACGAGGATGCTCTGGGCCGCATCCTGCTGGCCGACCACGTGAAGGACAAGCCCGTCGTGGTGGTCTCGGTCGCCGGAGCCTTCCGCAAGGGCAAATCCTTCCTGCTGGACTTCTTTCTGCGCTACATGCGCAATCAGGGCCAGGCGGACTGGCTGGGCGACCCGACGGCCCCTCTCAAGGGCTTCTCCTGGCGAGGCGGCTGCGAGCGCGACACGACGGGAATTCTTCTGTGGGACGAGGTGTTTCTGGTGAGGAGATCCCGATTTTGCGGATGAGCCGGCGTGATCTGTGTGACGTGTGGTCTTATCGTGCCGACCCGCAGGTGACCACCTCGCAAGGCCAGCAGCTGGCCGTACTGTTCATGGACACGCAGGGCGCGTTCGACTGCGAATCGACGGTCAAGGACTGCGCGACCATCTTCGCCCTGAGCACCATGACCAGCTCGGTGCAGGTGTACAACCTCTCCCAGAACATTCAAGAGGACGACTTGCAGCACCTGCAACTCTTCACCGAGTATGGCAGGCTGGCGCAGCAGGTACTGTAGATCTGACAGCTCGAAGCACCTTAAAGGTGGTTACCACTTTGCTGACGTACACTTCACTGCATACTGCAGGACATGAGTGAAAAGCCCTTTCAGAAGCTTCTGTTCTTGGTGCGGGACTGGAGCTATCCATACGACGCGGACTACGGTGCGAATGGCGGCCGCGCCATCCTGGAAAAGCGGTTGCAGATCTCCGATAGGCAACACCAGGAGTTGCAGCAGCTCAGGAAGCATATTCGGTCGTGTTTCTCGGAGATCGGCTGCTTTCTGATGCCTCACCCTGGGCTCAAGGTACTACATTTGTTCTTGCTTTCTCCTGCTCTTCCAAAGTGACTGCTTCAATGGATCTTCCATGATGCAGGTTGCAACTGCGGCATCTTTCGATGGTCGCCTGTCTGACATAGAGAGGAATTTCAAAAGCAGCTGTTGGAGCTTGTGCCCTCGCTATTGGCCCCAGACAACCTGCTTGTGAAGGAAATCAATGGCGAGAAGATCTCGTGCCAGGAGTTGATGTCCTACTTTAAAGTAGGCTGATGTGTTACTCCTTCTTTCTCGGTCGTTATCACACCTTGTTTTGTCCCTCCAGGTGTACGTGAACATATTCAAAGGTGATGAGCTACCGGAGCCCAAGTCCATGCTCGAGGTGAGCAACCATGGTTCACATTGAACAGCATACCTTAGCTCAGTCTTGTCTTTCAGGCAACTGCGGAGGCAAACAACTTGGCAGCTGTGGCTACAGCCAAGGACAAATACACGAGTGGCATGGAGCAGGTGAGAGCTACTTGCACTCATGGTTCTAGGTCTATAGTGATTACTATAGACCTTTTCACAGACTGCTGTCTGGGTGCTGTCATAATCCTCTCTGTGCTGTGCTAAGCAGGCGTGACCCCCCGAAAATGCACTGCCCAGGCTGTGAAGTGAGCCTTTGTACTTCCGTGTGCAGTCCAGCATGGTGGCGTTTTTGCCGTTTTTCTCTCTCTCTCTCTCTTGTGAAAAGGTCTTTCCAGCAAGGCTATATTACCGTACACTTTTGGATTAGAAAAGCTGCAAAAGTGTGGATGGTAGTGTTGTAATCAAATCACTGTACTATGAATACGAAAGTATGGATAGTGGTGTAGTACTTGAATTACTTGCGATAGTATGAAAGCAAATGTACGAATAGTGGTGAAGTACATGGATTACTTACTGTAGTACAAATCTAAAGAAACAGACAGAGGTGTCGTGCTTGAAATATTTACTGGGATATAAAGCACAAGTATCGATATTAGTGTAGTCATCTGATTACTATAGCATTATTGTGGACAGCAGTGTGGTACTTAGATTACTGTACTGTTGGTGCAAAGTATTAGGATCATTGTGGTAATTAGATTCGTTACCACATTATGAAAACAAAAGTACACATAGTGTGTAGTGCTTCAATTACTTCCGTATC